CGAGCCTTTAATTAAGTTATTTTTTTATGTATTGAAACCAATCTTTCAGATGTATGGAGCAGCTTCATTTTCCTGGGTATGTGAAGTGGAGAACATTTTATGTGCTTAAAGCTTCATGCTTCACCACTGCAACCCATGCAAATTCTCAAAAAATCAATTACGATCTGTACACTGCAAAGTATGCCGTCAAGATTAGGACAGTGCACAAATTCACAGAAATTATAGATCTATATAGATACACACTAACATACATGTATTACTTCTATATCATCTGGTTATACGTACACAATCAGCTGATTTGGAACATATTCCCATTTATCGATAATGGTATCCATTGCTTCTATGGTGCTGTGCTGCGCTCTACAAAATTGTGTGAAATCATTTTCATGTTTTGTTGGTTTTCATCTAATATATCATGTAGATTAATTCATTTTTAGCCTACCTGAGTCAAAAGACTCAAATGAGCTTTTTTGATTGAAGAGTGTTGACCATCCTTCTATTTGTTGTATATATCATCTGTCTTGTTGTCTGTTAGATTTTTACATTTTCAATTTATTCTCAAGAACCACTCTGGGTCAATTTCAACCAAACTTGCCACAAGACACTTTTTGGTGAAGATGATCTAGAAATGAACTACCACACTCTCTTTCAAGGGGAAATAATGAAAAAAAATAAATCGAAATTTAATAGCATAAAAATTTTAAAAGCTTCATTACATACTGTAGATTCAAATTCATTCAAATGGTAACCCAGGGGCTATGCTACAATTGGCGTTTAAAGTTTTAATTATGAATATAGGGGAAAAATCATTTAAATTCTTTTCAAAGAACAACAATGCCATGATAAGTTATATTAATTTGCAAGCATCTCCATGTAGTGTTTATAAAAGTTTGCTCAGATCATTCTTGGGAAGGATGGGACCACTTTTCAATACTAAATTGATATCTGCTTTTCTCTAAACAAAGTTCAGGTGAGCGATGTGGCCCATGGTCCTCTTGTAGGTATCCTTATCAATCATTTACAATTCGTACATTTGAATTGGTTGATAGTATTACCATATTATTTAATAGATTTTCCAGATAACTGGACTATACAGAATCTATTGGAAAAATGAATATAAGGCAACTATTAAATTGCAGATTAAGCAAAAATTGTTTTGAAAGTTGAAGTTTAATCTCTGATTTTATATCAGATTATTTCATTTGCAATATATTTCAATACCGACTTCATTTCTTTCTCTCTGTATCTGATTTTAGAACGGAAGGAACTACTTAGTTGAGCACATATGTATACATTGCATTACACTCTACTAATAAGAATGCAGCATATGAAATTTTATAAGCAGTGTTTTAACAAATCAAAGAAAACTCTGTATATAGATCTCTTCTTTCTTTCTTGTGTGACACATTCATGTATAAATACACAAAATACTCATCAATATTAAAATGCATTTCCACAGAATTCTGTTAAAAACCAATTTTTCTTCTCTTTCATTTGAACTTATAGCAAAATATTTAAATCTTAACCTCCTATGTATGTGTATGGAACTATGGATGATGTTGCACATCTCATAATTGAGAGATACTTCAATTCCTTTTCTTCCTTTTCAGTCTTGAAAGATTTGGAAAGAAGTTCATGCAGCAAGAAGAGGCATCCCTATACTGAAGACTTCACTTTGTCACACATCAGATACAGTGGAGGAGTGTATACAGAATGTGTTCATGTTTAATATGTATGAACAATAGACAATGTAAAATGTACATAAACTGTAGAAATGACAGTAACAAATTGAAAGTTCTGTACAATTCCATGCTTCAAGACATCTTTATTTGCTCTGATAGCTAAATAAACTTTTCTAAGGAAAATGCTTTCAGTTGTGTTACATTAATTGGTAAAATTGTGACATTTGTATCATGCTGTATAGGAATTTGAGGAAAGCTTGTAAGATGAGGACTTTGCATTAAGGAAAAGTGGAGATTTTTGTGGTGTTTTACCCTCAAGTCAAATTTACATAAATAGGGTACTTTTTTTGGGGGGGGGTCTCCAGAAAATTCTTATCAGTTCCTTCTAAAATGCATATATTGCATTCATTATGAAGTATGGTAAGTCTAATTTTTCACTCATATTGAGGCATGTCCACTTGTCAGCAAAGGGCTGCGAATTTACACATGTTCTAGGCATTTAGAGCCTTTGAGCAGGCAAGGTGCAAGCATATTTTTAGTGCTTGCACCTACTGCAATACAGAACCTTGGTTTACCTGTTGATATGAACAATATTTATTTAGAATACTGCATACATTGGCATAAAATGCCTATAAATACATGTTCTCATTCATAGGAGTAGCTAAGTCACTCTTGGTCATCTAGCAGTCATCTATCAACATTAGTTTAACCTGCCACACTTGGCCCTTAACTAGAACTGTAAGCATTTAGAGCCATCGGATTGGGCTGAATGGTTCATATATAAACACATTATCAAATGTACCTTATCTCCTTTACTCCTAAACTTCGGAGAGAAGATGCATGAAAATCACTACTGTAGATTCCTAATTATATGAGAGGAATTAATTTCCGCGTAATTTCGTGAGAAGCGTCACTAGTGAAAAAATATTACTCCCTTTTTAGCTCTTCTGAGCCAAAGGCTCAAAGAGCTAATGCTATGGCCATTTGTGCGTTGTGCGTCGTGCTGTGTGCGGTGTGCGTTAACTTTTTAGAATATTGGCCATAACTCGAGAACCCATTGGCCAATCAGTGTCAAATTTGCCACAGGGTATCCTTGGCCCAAGGGCTACCATTTTATACTAAAATAAGGGTTGGGACCCTAAAACAAGGGGAGATAATCAGGAAAATGAAACCAAAAGTACTGGTTGCTAGAAAATCTTCTTCTCCGAAGAACCACCAGGCAGATTTTCACCAAACTTACATACAATGGTAAGGATATGTTGAAGATTAAAAATTGTTCAAGGCATGACCCTGGGGCAAAGGGCGTGGTCTCAAGGTCACTTCAAAGTTGACCTAAATTTACAATTAATGAAAATGTCTATATTTTGTTTACTATAAGGACTAGGATCATCAAATCTTGTAAGTTGATGCATCTTAGGACTTCACATCATGTTAACTCAAAAGTAGGTCATGGTGACCTACTTTTGAATGTCTCAGGTATTTATTGGCTTAGAATTATCAAACTTGGTCAGCAGATGCATCTTAGGCCTCTGATAAATGTCAACCAAAATGTAGGTCACGATGACCTACTTTTGACATTTACTGGCTATATTTAAGTATCTCCAGTACTTATCGGCTTAGAATCATCAAACTTTGTCAGTTGATGCATCTTGGGTTTTCGGAGAATGTCGACCAAAAAGTAGGTCACGATGACTTACTTTTGACATTTTATGGCTATATTTAAGTATCTCCGGTACTTATTGGCTTAGAATCATCAAACTTTGTTAGTTTATGCCCTTTGGGTTTTCAGAGAATGTCAGCCAAAAAGCAGGTCACGGTGACATACTTTTGAATATCTCAGGTATTTATTGGCTTAGAATTATCAAACTTTGTCAGAAGATGCATCTTGAGACTCTGAAAAATGTCGACTAAAATGTAGGTCATGATAACCTACTTTCGACATTCTATGGCTATATTTAAGTTTCTTTGGTACTTATTGGCTTAGAATCATCAAACTTTGTCAGTTGATGCATCTTGGGTTTTCCAAGAATGTAGACCAAAAAGTAGGTCAAGGTGACCCACTTTTAAATATCTCAAATACATATTGGCTTAGAATCTTCAATCTTAGTTTGTCTATTAATGCATCTTGAGTCCTCAGAAAACTTCAATCTTAAAGTAGTTCACCGTGACCTACTCATGGTTTTTTTTTTATAGCTTTATTAAAATATCTTCAGTCCTAATTGGCTAAGAATCATCAAACTTTTTATCAGTTGATGCAACTTGGGTTTTAGGATACTTAGGGTTGGAGGCTTCAAATACAAGTGATAGGTTGTACAATTTATCAGAAGAGCGATTCAAGGCCCTTGGGCCTCTTGTATTTTTATGGTGCTGAAATCTATGTAAATTCTGTTGATCAACTGTCCATTTGCGAATTATAATTTTCGCCATTTGACGTTAAAGACCCAGTTCGCGATAAAAAGTACTCGCGAAAAATAAGGAATCTACAGTATATTAATATAGAATTCTCACTTAATTGTGATTTTTTCACATAAGCCAGAATTCAAGTTCCAGGTGGGGCTTATCAGAGCTCAAGAAAACCATGCTACACAGGTGGACCATAAAGGCCCATAGGCATTATGTTACATTAAAAGTGCACATTACTGTGAAGTAAAAACAAACAAATTAAATTAAATTTTTATTGAGAACACAAACTGTCTGGTTTTCACCATCAATATAATTTCATTAACATTTAAGTTCACTCCAGTTGTTAAATATACATGTATATGCATTAACTCAAATCATTTCATGATGTAGGATATATTATCTATTATTAATTAAACAGAAAAAAAGGAACAAATCCAATGAAGTTTGTACAAATTCATGAATAAATAAACAAAAGCAAAAAAGTAAACATAATCTGAAGTAAACATATTAACTATCCACAAATACAAGTTCATGCAAAATGCTGTAAAATCAAATGAAGTCTCTAGCATGATTACATTGAAGCATGAAAATGAAGTCTCCTATGAATAATATTTTTTCCCAGAATTCCTGCATAAGCTTTTTGATTAATCTGGCACAGCCCTTTGACGCTGATTTATTTTGGTCACACATGGCTGATTTACTGCTGTGCACACTGAAGCCTGTCTGCTGGGCCAAATTCGGAATCTTCAGAATCCGAGTCGGAAGTGTTGGAACTCGAATCATCGGCATCTGGTTCATTCTAAAATTCAAAATATGGATAGGAAATATAAAAGCTTTATAGATTATTATTTGTATAGGAATAAACCTAGTCCACAAATCATTATGTTAATATTGGTAGATATACTCCTGAATCTACAAAGATGACTTTACAGAATACCCTAGAGCCCCCACACTCTTACCCACAAGCTCTGTGCCTGGGGCAGCAAATTTCAAAATTTTGAAGAAACACTTTTGCAAATCATACACTTAAGCCTATTTACCCAAACTCACATCACTTCTCATTCCTATAACCTCACTGTCAATACCTCATTGTTATATTACAGTAACTATTACCCTTCTCCTAGCTCGACTGATCTGTCTCATTATATAGTACATCATTGGCCCGTCCAACATGTCATGCAAGGCAGAAGGGTCACTCAAATTCTCCTCATTTCTCTCCTTCTTATTCTTCTTGGTTGTCTGTTTTATTAGAATAAGTCATTATCATTAATTGCATAAAACAGAGAATATATCCCGCAAAATGAATACAGGCTCATTCAATCTACTGGTAAATATTCAGGGCATTAGTTTGGCCCTATGGTGTTCATATCTACCTTTTTGAGGTTGGGTAACACAGTTGGCTCCTCGGCAGTGGGGGCCCAAATCTTCACATCGTGATCCAGACCACTGGTGGCTAAAACCGGGGCAAAAGGATGGGGCTCCAACACATTGATCTTGTGTCAAATATAAAATAACCATTACCTTTGAGCAAACTTCAAACAAAATTCAGGCATATTTGTTGATCAAACTGCAGAATATTATACAGAGCCTACTTTATACCTAAATAAAAATCTGACCTATGACAATGGAACTTTTTATCAATTGTAATATTATGTAGCTTACATGAGATGAGATATTTAGAAGTTAGAATTTAATAGATATGATAACACACCACTCCACAATCGTCTCCCTCCATGAACTGTACCACGCTCTCCGTCTCTTTGTCCCACAGGAACACATGGCCGCAGTCACTCCCACTGACTACAAACTCACTGTGGGGGCCATAAAAGTTCACTCCCTTCACTGAAACAAAGAACAAGAGGCCCATGGGCCACATCGCTCACCTAAGCACTGTGGCTAGGAAAAAGTAGAATTGGTTTATTATTGAAAAGTTTAAATCCAAAAGTAGTCCCATGACCAATCATGGTTTTGCTATTCTTGTTGGGAAGATGATTTTTAAAGAATTTTCCTATGTCTATGTAAAACTTTGGTCGGCCATTGTTGCCCCGCCCCTACCCCCCGGGGCCTTGATTTGAACAAACTTGAATCTACACTACCTGACGATGCTTCCATATAAATATGATCAATTATGGCTTTGCTGTTCTTGAGAAGAAGATTTTTAAAGAATTTTCCTACATATTTCTATGTTAAACTTTGGTCGGCCATTGTGGCCCCACCCTACCCCCGGGGTCATGATTTGAACAAACTTGAATCTACACTACCTGACAATGCTTCCATATAAATATGATCAATTATGGCTTTGCTATTCTTGAGAAGAAGATTTTTAAAGAATTTTCCTACATATTTCTATGTTAAACTTTGGTCGGCCATTGTGGCCCCGCCCTACCCCCGGGGTCATAATTTGAACAAACTTGAATCTACACTACCTGACGATGCTTCCATGTAAATATGATCAATTATGGCTTTGCTATTCTTGAGAAGAAGATTTTTAAAGAATTTTCCTACATATTTCTATGTTAAACTTTGGTTGGCCATTGTGGCCCCGCCCTACCCCCGGGGGTTATGATTTGAACAAACTTGAATCTACACTACCTGACATTGCTTCCATATAAATATGATCAATTATGGCTTTGCTATTCTTGAGAAGAAGATTTTTAAAGAATTTTCCTATACATTTCTATGTAAAACTTTGGTCGGCCATTTTGGCCTCGCCCTACCCCCTGGGGTCATGATTTGAACAAACTTGAATCTACACTACCTGAGGATATTTCCATATTAATATGATCAATTATGGCTTTGATATTATTGAGAAGAAGATTTTTAAAGAATTTTCCTACATATTTCTATGTTAAACTTTGGTCGGCCATTGTGGCCCCGCCCTACCCCTTGGGGTCATCATTTGAACAAATTTGAATCTACACTACATGACAATGCTTCCATATAAATATGATCAATTATGGCTTTGCTATTCTTGAGAAGAAGATTTTTAAAGAATTTTCCTATATATTTCTATGTAAAACTTTGGTCGGCCATTGTGGCCCCGCCCTACCCCCGGGGGTCATGATTTGAACAAATTTGAATCTACACTACCTGAGGATGTTTCCCAATAAGTTTCATCTTTCCTGGCACAGTGGTTCTTTAGAAGAAGATTTTTAAAACATACCATTAAATTTTCATTAATTCCCAATTATCTCCCCTTGAATGAGGGCGTGGCCCTTCATTTGAACAAACTTGAATCCCCTTCACCCAAGGATACTTTGTGGCAAGTTTGGTTGAAATTGGCCCAGCGGTTCTTCAGAAGAAGTCGAAAATGTGAAAAGTTTACAGACGGACAGACAGACAGACAGACAGACAGACGGACAGACGGACGACGGACAAAATGTGATCAGAAAAGCTCACTTGAGCCTTCGGCTCAGGTGAGCTAAAAAGAAATGACTGGTATTTATACACCAACTTAAGCATTATCTTTGTAGTTTTCCTATGTCATGTTATCATTCCTAGCTTCAAATAATGGAGAACAGTAAATTGTAGTAGGTATTTACTATTAAAACAGACTTAATTGCATTAGGGTTAGGATACCCCATTTATACATATCTGGAATATTGATCTCCATGTAGCTCCTTCTTTATTTGATTTTAGATCTACTCACCTGTGGCACTGTTTCTGTGACCCCCATATCTGTGAATGTAGTCTGCACCATCGGAATGTGTATTATCAAACAAATAAATGTCATCATCATTGTAGGAGCCCAGTACCTCTGAAAAAGAAATATATAAGGCTACATTCTAATAGTTTGTTCGAATTAGCAGATTAGTGATAAGCATATTCTATTTTCATTCTAGAAAAATTGTCAAAACCTGTTGGTGTGTTTTAGTGACAATTATTTTTCCATATTTTACAAAGATGCAACTATGAACATTTTTCAATAACTTTTTCAATAAACAATATAACCAGATGCATCAAAGTGAGTTAGCAGCCCTAACATCAATGAGATACATCATCAACCTGATTCTTGGACTTCTGCCAAAGTTTGAGATAGCGATGGAATTTAAAATTATCTGTTCGTAATTTGTTTATAATTACCAGGGGTACCTACCTGTTCCATTGTAATTATACACTGCACAGGTAATGTCAGCTTTGGACTTGCTGTCAATCTAAGAGAACAATATACAATTATTCTATGTTCTAGCACATATCAAATACTTAAGAAAAACCATTATATACATGTATACATTTATGTAGATATTTTCAGAAGGCTTCTAAACAGAACTGGCTCCATATATTCTCTTACCAAATGATGCGGACAAAACTTTTTGACAATTCCATCTTCAGTCTGAAATTTAAAAAAAAAGGCCTGTTAAAAATACTTGTCCTTTAATATCATATTCCTCTACTATAACAAATATGCTTCTTTATTATAACTTAAAGGAGAATACATTAGCTTGTTCGGGATTCTCTTAATATTTTTATAATATCTCGAGATTTTCAAATATTCAGTACAAAATTTTGCGTCCCAACAGTGTCAATATATCACAACCAAAACTAAGTTGTAGCACAACAATGTTTGACTGTACAGTTGTTTTTATCATGCACATCTGATTTTTTAGCTACAAGTAAGACCATTTATAAAAAGCTACAGTCTTCTTCTTAGGTTGTTTGTGCCAGATAGGCTAAGTTAAGTTATTTTGAAAAACATTGAAAAATTATAGAGAGAGGACAATAATGGATATTAAATAAATGATCATTTCAATATTCAGAACAGGTTAGCTAAAATTATACAAAAGGTAACAATTATGAGTGCAGGTTTAATTAAAGTACACACTGCTTTTAAATAAATTAAATACAGACAGCATTATATGATTTAATTTTAATAAGATTTACTTACATCTGCAATCTTTCTTTTGTCATAAATTCTAAAATCATCAAAACACAAATTAATACCATGTAAATTGTATGATATTTATAAACTATTACATGTACATTGTATGATGTCGATAAACTTAAATAATTTGATTAACATGTTTAATGTGTTGTTAGGAGTTCTCTAAAATAGTACATTAAAAAAAATTACATGAATGTAATAAATTCCCATATGGTAAAAATACATGTACATACAGGACATACACATACCTGCTTTGTTACAAAAACATATGACATTCATTACATTAATTTTTTCTTAAAATACAAATTCATGACATGACTTCGTAATGTGTTCGGTAAAATGAATTTACTGGCATGCAAAACTATGTACATTAAGGCCATGTAAAATTAATTCCTTGGTTCTCAGGCCTTTTTTCAAGAAATATGATGAGGGAGGGAGGCATTTTTTTTTCACTTTTTATTGCCCCCAAAACTGATGAGGCAGCTTTTTACATTGAACAAAACCTAAGAAAATGATGAGGGAGGTGATTTGTTGTTTTTATTTTATTGATTTAGCAATAAAAAGGGTCAATGAGGCACCCTTAAAAGAGATGAGGGAGGGCCTGAGAACCAAGATAATATTTTTTTATAGCCTAAGCCATAAAAAATTAATTTCTTGATTCTCAGGCCCTCCCTCACCTCTTCCAAGGGTGCCTCATTGACCCTTTTTATTGCTTAATCAACCAGAAGTCTCTGTCGAGACTGTAGCTCTACTGGTTTATACTTAAAACAAAGGAAGAGAAAAGTAGCAGTTGGGACTTGAAACTTTAAAACAGCAATAAATAGAAAAATGATCCTTGCCACTCATCAAAATAAAAACTGATGCACAGAATTATGTATCTTAGTATAGTCTACTTGTGTGCCAAATTATATTGTAATCGGACCAAACTGTAGGAGAAGCATTTTAAAAGAATTTCTCAGAAACTTCTATTTTTAGTTACCATGGCAACACCGTTCATTGAAATCAAAAATCGATGCACAGAATTATGTATCTTAGTGTAGTCAACTTGTGTGCCAAGTTATATTGAAACCGGATTAAAACTGCAGGAGGAGTAGCATTTCAAAAGAATTTCACAGAAATTTCTATTTTTAGTAGCCAAGGCAACATCATTCATCGAAATCAAAAACTGATGCATAGAATTATGTATCTTAGTGTAGTCGACTTGTGTGCCAAGTTATATTGAAATCGGACCAAAACTTTAGGAGGAGTAGCATTTCGAAAGGAATTTCACAGAAATTTCTATTTTTAGTTACCACGGCAACACCGTTCATTGAAATCAAAAACCGATGCACAGAATTATGTATCTTAGTGTAGTCTACTTGTGTGCCAAGTTATATTGAAATCGGATCAAAACTGTAGGTGGAGTAGCATTTTGAAAGAATTTCACAGAAATTTCTATTTTTAGTAACCACGGCAACACCGTTCATCGAAATCAAAAACCGATGCACAGAATTATGTATCTTAGTGTAGTCTACTTGTGTGCCAAGTTATATTGAAATCGGACCAAAACTGTAGGAGGAGTAGCATTTCGAAAGGGATTTCACAGAAATTTCTATTTTTAGTAACCAGGGCAACACCGTTCATTGAAATAAAAAACCGATGCACAGAATTATGTATCTTAGTGTAGTCTACTTGTGTGCCAAGTTATATTGAAATCGGACCAAAACTGTAGGAGGAGTAGCATTTCCAAAGAATTTCACAGAAATTTCTATTTTTAGTAACCACGGCAACACCGTTCATTGAAATCAAAAACCGATGCATAGAATTATGTATCTTAGTGTAGTCTACTTGTGTGCCAAGTTATATTGAAATCGGACCAAAAATGTAGGAGGAATAGCATTTTGAAAGAATTTCACAGAAATTTCTATTTTTAGTAACCATGGCAACACCGTTCATCGAAATCAAAAACCGATGCACAGAATTATGTATCGTAGTGTAGTCTACTTGTTAGCCAAGTTATATTGAAATCGGACCAAAACTGTAGGAGGAGTAGCATTTCGAAAGAATTTCACAGAAATTTCTATTTTTAGTAACCACGGCAACACCGTTCATCGAAATTAAAAACCAATGCACAGAATTATGTATCTTAGTTTAGTCTACATGTGTGCCAAGTTATATTGAAATCGGACCAAAAATG